TTTCAATGTACTCGCCGTAACAGAACATATACCAGCATGCTTCAGCGTGCTCTTAAAGGCCAGCTCCGGGCATACATTTTATTATAAGATATCATGTGAGTAATCTCGACAAAAAAAATCGCCAATTTAACTGAAAACGAGAATATAAAAATCTGCTTAGAAATGCAAAAATCAAGCAGACGTACTACTTTTTTACTAGCTAGGTTTTAGAAAACTCCCAGCGTGATGAGAAAACAAATTACAAGACACTAACTGTCAATTAACGACACCGCTAGAACGTGACATCAAGCTGCTGTGGACTTCACCACACTAATCTGTGAAACGCGTCGGTCAAGATGGTATTAATTGCCATAACAATCAATAATACAATTGATAAAACTACAAAAAAGAAATGACAGAAGAGAGTAGTTGCTGCGAAGCAGCCAATGCATATTCTTGACAACAATTTGACCTCTGAAAGGTCATTGTTTGTCAAAATCACAGACATAAGACAACTGAAAAGCGGAGTTTCCCTCTTTCGTTCTGCCAGGTAAAATCAATTACTTTAGGCGACGTTTGTAGACTAACCAACCCGTACCAACGTCCGCATGTTGCGCTAGCCTTATCCTACTCTAGGCCTAGACTAGCTAGGATGGCTAGCTTGAAGGGACGAAGGTCCCAATGAAAAACAACGTTGCTCCTTGATAGCTAACAATAACATTGTCTATTTAACATCACAATAATTCATTATTAGACCTATAGCTGTTTCTTGAATTGTACTCCACAAATCTCAGCCGATACCTCGCACAATCGAGTAACCTCTTGTATCTATTGTTATGACGTCATGGCTCGCTGGCTCACACTTGCGATGTCTCGCACTTGTGATCAAATAACACGCTGGCTCGCACTTTAGCAACACTCTTTGGCAGTCAACTCGCCCCTAGAAAACACCCCCTTGGAAACTTGCCCCATAAAAAAATGTACACTTCCTAGACCATGCAGTCTTCAAAATAAAAATTGTAACCTTTGGTAATCAACTACATTTTCCACATACATAGACATTTTTGAAACTTTAACCTAAAAAAACCTAAACCATAATTCACCACTATAGACACTTTTTGACAAAAATGAAAAATTACGACTTTGTTACCCAATGAGTGTTCTAGTGTTCTAATATAGACAATGGGTTGTGTCTCATATTATTTGTTATATTTTTATTATTCATTATTTTCACTTATTTATTTATTTATTTATTTATTTATTCTGCCTTTAAAGTGATAACACTTTCAGTGACGCAGCACTGATCTCACTAGTGGATCACATGAACAAAAAGGTAGAACAAAAACAAACATAAAAAAAATATACAGAAACTTAACTAAAATAAAAAAGAAGCAATTCAAATGAATTAAAAAGAAGGCAAGAGAACAGAGGGTGGTCAGAAAGATATAATTAGTTTTCTGTTTTGATCAAAGTTTTGAAATTTTTAAGTTGGAGATCATTTAATTCTATTTTAATTTGGTTTGGAAGTTCGTTCCAAGCCTTAGTTGCACGGTATAAGAATGTTCTCTTGCCTTGAGTGAGTTTCCATTTTATCTCCATCAAGGTGTTGTTAGATTTATTCCTAGTGCACTGAGAGTTGCTATTTTGATTAAAAATGAATTTGTTACATAGGTAGGATGGGGCAATTCCTTTCAGGCACTTAAAAGTGAGTAATAATAGGTGTTCCTTCCACCTATCATTTAACCTATTCCATCCTAAATCATCCATTAAATCCTTGATGGGTGTTTTAATGTCGACTGAAAGAATAATTCTTCCTAACCTATTCTGGAGAATTTGGAGCTCATTGAAAAGATTAGTTGTAGTGTTAGACCAAATGCAACTGCAATAATCAAATAAAGGCATTACAAGTGCATTTGCTAACATTTTAGTTGTGTTGAAAGGTAGAAACTGTTTGACACGGTGAATGACACCAATTCTTTTAGAAACTTTTGAAGAAATATTTTCGATATGAGTAGCCCAAGTTAAATTGGAATCAAAGTACACGCCAAGATATTTTAATAAAACAATCTACTTTTTCAATGTAATATTCCCATGGATAAGAGAAATATTAGAAAATTTAGGAAGCACATGGGGTGTTCCAAATATCATAAATTTAGTTTTTTGTGTATTTAAAAGTCAATTTATTTTTATTGAACCACTGACTAATATAATTAAGGTTTGCTTGAAGTTCATTTTGAAGTTCAGTGGGATTAGAGGAGCTGCAGAGAATTGTTGTGTCATCTGCGTACATTACGCATTTACCTTTAATTATATCAGGGAGGGAGTTCACATAGATATTGAAAAGTAAATGCCCTAGTATTGAACCCTGGGGTATTCCAATATCAATGTCCATAGCATCTGAGCGTGTTGAGTTGATTTGGACTATTTGTGATCTACAAGATAAATAGGATTTAAACCAATTTAAAGACATAGAATCAAGACCAAATTGGTGCAACTTGTTAATGAGTAGTTGGTGATTCACCGTGTCAAAAGCCTTTTTTAAGTCAACAAATATAGCAGCAGTCACTCAACCTTCATTAATATTATTTAAAATGTAATCGGAAACATCAATAAGTGTTGTAGCAGTAGAATGGTTTTTACGAAAACCTGATTGAGCATTGTTTAAAAAGTTATTAGTCGTAAGATAACCATACAACTGTTCATAAACAGCTCTTTCAATGATTTTACTGATTAACAGCAATACTGAAATAGGTCAATAATTGTTTGTATCAGCACGATCCCCTTCTTTGAAGATGGGTGTAACC